CCTTATTGTTTTGAAACATAGAATATGATCCCAAATGCTGGATATGAAATAGATAACAGAGAGTGACTCACTGGATGCAATAAAGGAAGAATCAGTAATGATGAGTCAGAAAGGAGACCGATGAATAGATATCAGGGGCACTGTTTATTTATATATTTAGAGAGACTCCTCAGGTGAAATTTACCCTTGTGCCAAGACCTAGCACAAAGTTTATGTAGCACTTCAATTCCATTAAGTCCAATGAGGGAATGGGGAATTTAAGTCATGCCTCACTCCTGTCCTGGCCCTCTGCACAGGACTGAATTTCACCCCTATTGACTTTACAGCAGTTAAAGCCACAACTCCCATTGACTGTTTGCCTGTGTAAGGAGCGGGCTTCAGGATTTGGCCCCCTGTTTTCGACTTTATGCAGCCAGTAATTTTGTCAGAAGAACACTCCCTACATTTACAGATTCCACAGTAATATATATAAACTCAGAGGCAACATCCCCAACCTGTAATCAGAGCTCTCCTTAAGGACATCAGCTCCTTCCATACTAAGCTCCCTCAGACAAAAGCCTGAGTAAAAAGATAGTCTTTGATAGTGCCCTCAAGGTTAGCTAGTCTGTGCTGTCAGACCTACAGAAGGAGTGAATTCAGAGAGCCCTCTACTGAGAACAGCCTGCCTTGAGCCATACAAATCGAGGGATGGTGAGCAAGAGTGATTCATCTGTCATGATGGTACAAGGAGGGAGAGAGAGAGAGAGAGAGAGTTGCAGGCAGCTAAGATTCAAGCCCTAAATGATAGGGCTTTATAGATCATTATCAAAACCCATGAATTGCAGCTAGAAGCAAAATTCTGCTGCACTATAGATCTCCACTGCAGAGAGAAGGAGTGAGAGAAAGCAGTACTATCTAGTAGATTGAGTTGAGGAGGGCGTCGGGATTCTATTCTTCTCCCTGCTACCTACCGGTTGTATGACTATGGGCAAATCACTTAACCTGTCCTTTTCTGCAGCTCTAAAATGAAACTAATAATATGTACCCATCTCTGTTAGAGCATTTTGGATGAAAGGCAATGTAAGTGCAAAGTACTACTATTTTATAATCAATCCTCATGCAAATCTCCTACTAATATCCGCTGAAGTTCACACGTGAAACAGGAACAGAATAGACAAATGAGGGGCATAGTGAAGGACCATGCGTCATCTAGTTCTATCTGCTTGCAGCTGCTGCAGGGCAGTTTAGCATCACCTCTCACAGCAGCCTGAGCGTCTTTTGTGTAGCCTAACCTGGAATATCTCCAGAGATAGTGGCTGCGGTTCTTGTTATGTCCCTTGACAGCTGGTTATGTAATTAGAAAAAGCAGTGCTTGAAAACAATAGAAATATCTCTATGCATTTTAAGTAATACTCACTGAGAGCTAAACATTCAAATTCAGAGAGACTGAATGGCTTTACTTTTGGGGGCATTTAAAGCTTTAAACTGGCAAAAACAGGCATTCTGCATAATTTGTAAAACTGGTTTCAGAGTAGCAGCCGTGTTAGTCTGTATCCTCAAAAAGAACAGGAGTACTTGTGGCACCTTAGAGACTAACAAATTTATTAGAGCATAAGCTTTCGTGGGCTACAGCCCACTTCTTCGGATGTAAAACTGGTTTATCTTAGATCTGAGCTTGTCTTGAGCAAAATTCAAACCTATATTTTACAGATGAATTATAAGTTACATTGAACTGGGGAAGAAGTCTAACAACCCTCAGAACATGAGAATCTCTACATTGACTTCAGTGGGCTTTGAATTAGACTCTCTCTCTGCATATAACATAAGACTCAGTCCCCTAAAAAGCTTAGAGTCTAACAGACTGTATCAACATACAACAAAATAGGAAGAGATGAAAGAATATATATTCCCATTCTTCGATGTTAATGCTATCCTGTTATGTATTTTTGATTTTTTTAAAACTTCACATCATGTCACCAGTTCTTCAATATATTTCCACTTTCACAATACCTCCTGCAGACGTTACACCCCACCCCACCCTGCACTGTTAACTGTCAACACATTGTTTGGTGTGATAAGTGAGAGGGTGTTTTTCTTTCCTTATCTGTGTCTTCTCATGCTGATTGGGATGTCCTCACTCAGCTACTTTGTCCCTTTCCTCAGCTTTCCTTGGTCCACCCCTTAGAAAACCCTGGCTGGTCCAAATTCATCTATTATTATTGATCATGTTTATTATGGTAGTGTGTAGGGCCAATCAAGAATGGGCCCCTACTGTGCTAAGCACGGTACAACATAGAATAAGAGACAGCCCCCACCCCAAAGAGCTTACAGTCTAAAGCAGGGATAGTCAATTATTTGTTGTCAAGGTCCAAATTTCTTGGTCAAGGTATAGTGAAGGTCCAGACTCCAGAGAAAATAATAAGTAAATAAAATGATTTTGGGGTCCATTTAAAAGCATCTGGAGGTCCAGATGTGGCCCATGGTCTGCCTATAGACTACTGCTGCTCTAAAGAGACAAGACAGACAAAGAGTAGGTGAAAGGGATAGAATATAGAAAATAAACAATGAGATGGTAGCAAATGTCATGTTAGTTTCATGATGTTTGTTTTTGTTATTTAAATACTTTCCTACCTGCTGTTGTATGGGGAAGCCAGGAGTTATACCATGGCTGAATCTAGTTCAGCAGAACATGTTTGTTGTACCAGCATGAGATCTGGAAGTAGACAGGCCTAAAAGGAGAACCAAAGCAAGACTGAGTGCCATTACCCACTCCTCGTTAAGATCTACTTCTACCAAGGGAGCCACATGAAGTGGGTCAACCACATTCTTGCTTTACTAGGATGAAATTCACCCTGCAAAAGTCCTGTTTCCCATTCAAGTCCCACGTAAGATTTCAACCTTAAATAGGCCTTGAGTTGACCCTTTGCAGAGGATGAATTTCACCCTGAGACATTTGTGATACATATTTATTTACATTATTTTATAACTTTGCTGAGCCACATGCCTTTATTGAAAAACAAGTAACAATGTCATCTTATAGTGTGAGCTGTTTCTTTGCCTGCAGAACCCCCAGCCAGCTGCTTGTTTCCCTGGTTACATCCTGAGTGAAAGGAGTGTAAACTCTCTAAGTTAAGAACTATGTGCAATTTATCTTGTACTGTAAGGAGTGATGCATTTTTGGGTGCTGTAAAAGAAAAAATAACAATAAAGAACAGAACCAGGCAGCACATCCAAAACAATCTAATCAATCGAGAGTTTAATATACTAACAGAACTGGGGCTTAAAAACTAGTTCAATTAAACTGGAAGTTTAGTAAACTCCCTGTAAATATTTACATTGTTTTGGAGCCTGACAATCTCTCAGTGTAAAGTGCTGTTTATAACACAATATTTAATGATTATACTGTGATGCTACAGTAATTCCAATAATACTCTTGAACTATGAGCAATTTCTACTCTCCTGAGATTATATTTATTAAACCTGAGCTATGGCATTAAAATTAAATGGCTTACACCATGGTCCAAAATAAATTGATATGATTTTTTCTGTCTGTAAATTTATCCCAGCCCAGCAGCTATGTCTGGCTTGCCAGGGCTATTCCTGATTGTGTGACAAAATAGATTATTAAGTCATCATAAGTTGAAAGAATTTTGAAAGAGATCAGCAAATGTATGTATGAAAAGCAAATGAAATTGCAGTTTGCCATTTAACAATGATGTGCACACAATGAACACTTTATCAGGGGTTCGCAAACTGGGGGTCCTGACCCCTTGGGGGTCACAAAGTTATTATGTGGGGGGTCATGAGCTGTCAGCCTCCACCACCAAGCCCCGCTTCGCCTCCAGCATTTATAATAGTGTTAAATATTTTTAAAATGTGGTTTTAATTTATAAGGGGGTCACAGTCATAGGCTTGCTGTGGGAAAGAGGTCACCAGTACAGAAGTTTGCGAATCACTGCCTTATATTATCCAAAAAAATCCATGCTTGAAGCTGAGAAGAGTTTCCAGGTTTGAACCAGGATGAAATACAAAGTATGATGCCTAGCACTAGCAGAATAATTGGGCTGTGGGCCCCAGGACACAACAGAAGAAGAAAATATTCTTAGGATTGATCTCTCGCTGCTGAGAAAATCCTACTTGTCTTCTACCGAATCACGGATGAAATTCACCTCTCTGCAGAGGGCCAGTACAAGTCCTATACATCACTCCGATAGGGTCCTGGGTGCTTTGGGCTAGCCCGACACATGGGAGTGAATTTCACACTACACAAGCGGAAGGCATAGCTAAAAACTAGCTTATCCTGCTCAATAGATACATTCTGCTCTTCCCAGGCCACTCCTAGCTGGGGCTTCATCCTGCAAGGTGCTGAGCACGTGGGCTTGATACAGCAAAGCACTTAAGCACAGAAGTAGTCCCACTGACAACAAAAAACAACATGCAAGCCCCATAGCCCAGGACCTCTCGAACAGCCCCCATCCCCTCCAGATCCCCCCCCCCCCAACCCAGGCCCCCCCCCACCCCCCCCCCCCCCCCCAGCCCCCCCCCATAGCCCAGGACCCCTCCAACAGTCCCCAACCCCTCCAGATCCCCTCCCCCATAGCCCAGGACCCCTCCAGATCCCCCCATAGCCCAGGACCCCTCCAACAGCCCCCCTCCCCTCCAGATTACCTCCCCCATAGCCCAGGACCCCTCCAACAGCCCCCTCCCCTCCCCTCTCCGATAGCCCAGGACCCCTCCAACAGCCCCCATCCCTCCAGATCCCCCCCACAGCCCAGGACCCCTCCAACAGCCCCCCTCCCCTCCAGATCCCCTCCCACATAACCTAGGACCTCTCCAACAGCCCCCTCCCCTCCAGATCCCCTCCCCCATAGCCCAGGACCCCTCCAACAGCCCCCTCCCCTCCAGATCCCCTATCCCCGGCTCCCAGCGCCCCGCTCCTCCCGGCTGTCTCGGGCCCGCCCCGTGGGCTCCTCCCCAGGCCGCTGCCGGGCGCCGGGCCGGGGGAGGCGGGGGCCGAGGAGGGCGGGGCGGACGCGGCGCCGCCGCGCACAGCAGCCGAGCCCCGAGCGGAGCAGGAGAGCGCAAGCGGCGGGCGGAAGGAGGCGGCCCGGCGGGCACCGGCGGCGGGTGAGTGGGGCGGCGGCGCTGGGCCGGGCCGGGCCTGCTCGGGGCGCTCCCGGGCCGCCCGTCTCCGCGGGGAAGGGCCGCGAGTCCCGGCTCCCCGGAGAGGGGCTGGGCCCCCAGGCAGGGGGGTGCCCGGGGAGGTCAGGACAGCCGGGGGTGGGGGGTCCTGCCCCCACCCGGAGGGAGCCAGGCGCTGCGGGGGGTGGGGGGAGGTTGGTGACCCCCGGGGTAAAGTGGGGTGAGTCCGTGGGACCTCTGGGGAAGGGGGCATGTGAGGGGCCCTGGGGTTCATTGCCCAGGCTAACGGGGCGGGCACTGCCACAGGGGGGGGGATTCAAGGACACCCCCGGGGCTACTGGGAGTGAGGGATAAAGAGGGCACTGACCTTTCCCTGGGGGGGCCACTGACTCGTGTCCTCCCCCAGCCCTGCAGGGGGAAGGGAGTGCGAGTCAGGGTCCGGGGTTCCTACCCCAAGGGTAAAACCAAGGGCCCAGGGAGGCAGGGAATGGGCACAGGGACCCCCCCAGGGTGAAGGGGGCGCTTGGGACAGGCGCTGCTCCCCGCACGCTGGGCAGGCTTTGGCTCTAGGATGCGGGGCAGGGATGTGCGGGGGGCACTGACTCGAGGAAGAAAGGATGAGGTGGCATGGGCACTGCCCCCAGGGCGTTCCTGGGCTGGCAGCGGTTCTCTCTCTCTCTCTCTCTCCCATAAAAATGGTTCTGTTGCGATTTCCTGGGGCTAGGCATGGGGCATGCATCTGCCTTGTTGGAACTGAACTTGGCTGGCGTCAGGCATATTTGGGATGGCCTGACCCGTTGTTGGCAGTGCCACACATGGGAGCTAGCAGGGTAGTTTAGTGCATTCCTTGAGTTGCTGCCATCAGCCACTCTCCCACACCTCCTAGACCCACCTAATATATGCTAGCCATGGTAATGGAGGAAGTGAAACCAGGAATTCCCCAGCGTGTCTCAGTCCCCCAGATGTGGGGACAGTCAGACGCCAAGGATGCTGCACTTCCCTATTTTGGGGTGTGTGGAGGGAGGAGGGAGTGAAGTTGTCTGGATCCTGGCATACCCACTTCGCTCCTGGAGTCTTTACCGCTTCTTGTTGCCTTTTCAGTACTGGTGCGTTCAGTGTTGCAGTAGCAGAAACTCTCCCCAGATTGTATAATTGGGCCTGAGAAAATCCTGCAGTTCTCTTACTGGTCCATGTAGTCTGGGGTGTTTCTCAGTCCTAGAGAGGCTTTACAGCCCAGACTGAAGAGGGAGCCAAGGAACCCAAGTTGAAGGGGAGCAGGCCATCTCACTGCTCCCATAGACATTGCAAGGGGACATAAAAGGCTGTTGTAGTTCTCTCATCCCTTGTCTTTGAAGATAACTTGGGGCTAATATGCGAGACAAGGCTTAGGTGGTCTGTGTGAGAAAGATCTATTTGGGGTGGATGATACTTGGATTTGGGTGTCTGAATGTTAGATTCTGAGAGTTTATTTTCCTGTTCCTTCTCTCTGACTTTGAAGAGGAAAGTTTGGGAAGGGCCATTGAGACAGTTTTCTCCAACATGGGTTTAAAGTTTTCTGTAGCCCTAAATCAAAACAAAAAACAAAACAAATGTTACCTGAATTATCAAGGCATTCAGAGCAACAAGCTAGCTTTGGATTGCTATTTTGGGCAGTGGGTGAAAGGGGAAAAGAGCATCATCTTTCATTTGCATGGTCGTGTCTTCATAGTGCTTCCTATTTTCAAACATTTTATTACATTGTCACTTTTCTGAAGGTGTCATTCTAGGGGGGATTGTCTTCTCTCCTTGCCTTCTGTCAGTCTTCTATTTAAATGTGAGGGTGAACGGGGTTGTTTCGATTTTGTAAGCTACAGCCCTCCAAGTCTGGGTAGTATATGACATCAAAGTATATATTTCAAGGGCTGCTTTCATTACTGATTTGTAGGAATCTTTCAGAATTTTTTCTTGGTTAACTTTGGCATGTACATAGAATGTACCTCTGCTCGGCACTGAAACTTTTAAACATCACATGATTTATTGGGCATGGGTTGTTTTACATTATCTACATCACTCTAAAACTTTTAAAATAGGGAGTTGACTACCACAAGAATTACCAATAGGGTAGTCTTTCCAGTAATATTCAGTAGAAAAACTATTATATGCCTCCAGACACCATCAAATTTAATTTTTCCCCCTTCATCGAAATGCAAAAATGATTCATGGTGAAAGGCACACTGTTTAGCTCAAAATGTTGTGGGTATTTTTGTGTTTAGGAAACTTGACAAAACCTCATAGCTATAGTTATGTTGCCAGTATATTTTTTTAAACTTAATTGCTGATCATTTTGAGTTTGCGTTTAAATCTTTCATTGCAATGATTGTAACCAAGCATTGCAGTCTTGTATTAATGTCTGAACCAGAAATTGAAATTGACTAGAAACAAAAATGAAACTGACTTGTCTATTTTCATTGTTCTAGTCATATATTGGAATGAACTGCAAACAGTAAACAAACACCACAGGTAATGAAAACCAGATTTTTAAAAATTCGTTCATTTCAGATTTTTCATCTGTAAATGTGGTACCACAACTTCTTGTTTGTGTTTGTATTTATTAAATTGCTTTTAACCAGAGTGGTAGTTTGTAATTTTGGCTTTGTGTATTGTTCGCAGTCTAAAATGTGGCACCAAATGTGTTTGAACTTAACAGCATCAAATAATCTTAACTCATTGTGTTATTTGAGGAAGACCAGGGTTGAATTGTGAACTGCCCTGTTTTGATGTATAATATTTTGAAAAAATTCTCCTCCTTTGTTAATGGAATAGCACTTGATTCTTTATCCAATTGGCCATGGCAGACTCCTCAAGAGGTGAAATTTGTTTAGTATGGAAGTTTCTGAAATTGTGAGACAATAAGGACTGAAGTCACTAAGAAACAGATATTAATAATCAAACACTCTATACCTTAATGTTGTTTCTGTGAGTTTTAAGTGAAAGAGAAATTTAAAGCAGAACAGGCTAGATTCTACAGTATCTGTAACTTTTTAATTTAATACACAGCTAGTGTGGCACACCATCTCCTAAGTATGAAATACTTTCTGATTATTCTGACATCATTATCATGTTGCTATAGTGACTTCATTACACTGGGAATGCCATGTTCACATCCTGTTGCTATGGAAAAGATCAGTGTTATAAATAAAAATATTTTAGTCTATTCATAGCTGTGACAGATAAAAATGCCGTTGTTTTAATATGACCTGATTGCCTAAGAGTGACAGTATATTTTAACCAAACTTTTTTTGTGCTGAGTTATGAACTAGGGAATTGACATTTCAAGTTTCTAACACCTTGTCCCTTCGACATCTCCTCCATTGCATTTGATAGTAGGGGTTATGAAATACTAGTTGTAGAAATCAAAAAGAGAATGTATGTGTAGTTTTTAAGGTGGAGCTGAGACAGGAAGTACTGTGCTTTCACATACTGAGTCTAAAAATAATCTGTTTTCATACACAGTATTTTCTTCAAAGCGGGACACACGGGGACAAGGGGAATATTGGTGTTCCATCAAACTAAGATCCTCAACAGTGAAGTGAGTTATCCTTTTATTTTCATACTATTTCTCACGGTGTTTATAAATTTAGGATAGCTAAATCTAAAAGCTTGTAACTGAACTAACCTAGGGGTGACACAAAATGCAAAAACTTTGCTAGATTTAGTAGACCCACTTGGTATTTGAAGAGCAAAGGTTATATTGGGTCTGAGGGCTCAAATTAAACCAAACACACAATATTTAATCATGTCTCTTGGCTTCAGTTTGGTAGTGTTTAGGTCAGATATCTTTTGGTAAGATTTTAGAGAGGAACAGGGCATAATTTACTAGCACAGTGTAGTTCCAGTGACATGTTAATGTTTTCATTTAGAGACTGGTGTTTACACAATATGTCAGAATAGTTTAGAATTGAAACCAAAGGCTTCAAATATACAGATATGTGTAGACTATTTTGTGATATATTTGATGTCTTCACCTAATATGAGGATGGCATTGCAGATATAATTAAAGAATTGAAATTTAGTTAGATGGCATTAATATAACATGTGAGCATACTAAAATGTCTAAGTTTTAACTGTACATTGAAACACAGTCTTCATGCATAATGAAATCTAAAATTTAGTATGTACTGATATATCCTAGTATTACTTCTGTCCTGTACTATGTCCAAATAGAGGACATTGGTGTGTTATCTGGAGAATAAATTCATTCAGTGCAATTTTACATATATTTTTTTAATGGATCTATAAAGTCTCTCTTTTCCAGATTACTTAATGTTGTATAAAACTACAGACAAGTTACCAATTTAATTATTTTTTAAAAGAAAAATCATAGTGCCTTGGTTTTAAGGAATATGTGTCTATTTTTAGTGATGCAGGAAGTGAATCTTTTGAACATATTTAAAGTTTAAATCTTTACTCCATATGTTTGGGATACTGTTTGCAGAGGTGCCTACTTAGAACTCAAAATTGTTCCCCAGTCCTGCAATCAGATTGCTGTAGGTAGCATCATGTGCCGTATGGAGCCCTAGTGATGACAGTTCACTGGCCCTCTGCATGGGTGCAAAGGTCCACTTGTGGATCTGATTGCAGTACTGGGACTGAAGAAATACAGTGGTTTTAGATTATTATTTTTAATATAGAGAGTTTCTGCATTTATGCATGTCCTTGTATTTTCTAATGTCAGATGGTATGAACCTCAATTTTCCTTAGGCACTTTTGGTAACTGTGTACTCAGTTCTAATAGAAGTGGACTTTGGAGACAGGTAACCTGATTCAACCAGTCCCAGGGTTATGTCTGGATAGATGGTTGTTTTTCCATTGTAGACCTACTTTCGTTTGTAAAGGGAAGTTTGTTGGTTTTTTTTCTCATTAGAGTGCAGTTCTTTGAAGACTCTTACTCCTGAGGGCATTCTGTGCCAAAAAAATAAAAATTCTATGCACAGTATTTTAAAATTTTGCAAATTTTATTTGTCAAATAAATGTGGAGGCTCCAGCATGGCACTTGGAAGCACAGGCCACTGGGCGCACAGAGGTGGGAGATCACTGTGCAGCTCCCCTGGGACACGGTCTCAGCTGTGAGGCTGCACCCAATTCTGACACAGCGCAAGAACCGGGCCTGCCCCAGAAACACCCCAGGGCCCTGCCCCTCCATGCCAGGTTCACCAGGTGTGGGCAGGCTGCCTCAGCAAGGCAGGATCCAAGTGTGGAGGGGCATAGTGTGGGGGGGATCCAGGTGTGGGTTGAGAGGGTTCTGTGTGGGGCAATCTGGGTGCGGGTGGCTCAGTGGGGGATCTGGGTGCGGGGGGATGTGGATGCACAGGGGCTTGTTGAGGGTTCTGGGTGCAATGGTAATGGGACTCTGCAGGGGAGTCCAGGTGAAGGTGGTTGGGGCTCAGTGTGGGGGGAAGAGAGCTCGGCGGGGGGTATGGGTGTGGGGGGCTCAGTGGGTGGTCCAGATGCAGCTGGTTGGGGCATGGTGGAGTGGGGGGTGCGGGTGGTTCAGGGGGAGTGGGGCTCATCAGGAGGGGTTCTGAGTTCAGAGAGGTGAGGCTCGGTGGGAGGGTCTGGGTATGAGGGGGTCTGGAGGCACAGGGGTTGGGTGGATGGGGAAGCAGCTCCCTGTACAGGGATCCCTCCCCCTGCAGCTGAGGAGCGATGGGTGCAGGAAGCGCGGGGGGGAGAGGGGGCTGTAGAGCTTCTTTCAGGTGGAGGAGAAATCTGGGGGTGGGTCGGACTCGGCCCCGGATGCTGTGCAAAGGAAGAGGAAGTCCTGTCCGCCCAGTCGGGATTAGCAACTGAGCCTGGGGAAGGGTAGGAGCTACCAACTGGGTCTTCCCCAGTCTCACCTCCTGCCACACAGTGATTTACTTTTCTTCCGGCTGCTCTGGGCCCCCAAAACATACTGCTGGGGAGGGTCGCATAACTGTTCTTGTGGCTTCCCTTTGCTTCCCTGTCAGAAAGTCATTTTTCTGTGGAGAAGCAAAGAAATCTGCAGGGGACATAAATTCTGCGCATGTGCAGTGGCACAGAATTCCCCCAAGAGTATCTCTTTATACTAAGCTGTGAGATAGATACTGATTTTTTTCCCACTCTGATTAAAGTTTTTTCTTTTCATTCTGTTGAAGACAACTTGTCTAGTAGCCTATGTTCACATAACAGTTTATACAGCAGTTGCAAGTGTTCTTGATGAGCAACGGTTACGTTTTTAGTGTTGATCTGATGTGGCAATAAGATAGGTATTTTATTATTACAAATGCATTTGGACAACTGCAGAATAAACTCATGATGTTTATGTTCGTATGGGTTAGCTTAATTGAAGTGTTTATCATTATTTAACAGAAGGCTAAGAAAAAAAGCACAACTCTAGTGAAACCTTCTCTTTAGAAGAGTGCTCAGTGCCTTAGTCAACTTTTGGTTTAATTAGCCAACTGTACATAACCTATGAAAGCTTCTGATCCTAGAAACACGACTCCTTGGGCAAATCGACACTACAAAGTTAAATCGACTTCTAGCCCCCGCAGTAATTAAATTGCTTTTGCATGTCCACACCACACTCCTTGTATCGGTAGTGCATATCCTCACTAGGAGCACTTGCACCGATTTAACTGTCAGTGTGGGGTATTGTGGGACAGCTTCTGAAAGGCAGCAACAGGCAATGTAAACAATGCAGTGTCTACACTGACACTGTGTTGCCCTAACTATGTCGACCTAAGTGCTATGCATCTCGCAGAGGTGGAGTTAAGTTAGTGTAGTGGGCAAGTTACATCCGTGGGAGTGACATTTTAGTGTAGATACTTACTGAGTTAAGTCGACATAAGCTGCCTTATATTGTGTGTATATATAGTGTAGACCAGGCATATGCCCTCCCTACCCCCAACCAACCAAATCCCATAAGTAAGGGTGTCACAAGTTGGAAAGAAAATTGAATCTTACCTGGCTACCTTGTTTGATCCAATCTTCCTATGTTCAGATGCCATCCATAGATAGGGTTACCATATTTCAATACTGCAAAAAGAGGACACTCCACGGGGCCCCGGCCCCGCCCCAACTCCGCTCCTTCCCCGCCCCAACTCCGCCCCCTCCCCTGAGCACCCCGCATTCCCCCTCCTCCCTCCCGCCCCCCGGCTGCTGTTGCGCTGGGGAAGTTGCTTCGGCCCCCGCCGTGGTGGAGAGCGGTGGGAGCCGGGAAAGTTGGAGCCTAGGGAGGAGGCGGCTGCGCGCTTGGATGCCGCCCGCCGCCTCTGTGCCCCTGCAGATCGGGGGACTTGTTAGTTTTGCTGCAGCCACTCCACTCGGGGTCCCCCGAGTATCTTTTGCCCGAGTGCTAGTGGCTGCAGCAAACCTAACAACTCCCCTGATCTGCGGGGGCACAGAGGCGGCGGGCGGCATCCGAGCGCGCAGCCGCCTCCTCCCCAGGCTCCAGCTGCTGCTGCGCTGCGGAAGTTGCTTCAGCCCCGGCGCGCGGTGGAGAGCGGCGGGAGCTGGGAAAGTTGGAGCTCGGGGAGGATTCGGTCCCCTTACCATGCCTCCCTATTTTCCCGGACATGTTCAGCTTTTTGGAAATTCCTCCCGGACGGGGATTTGAGGATCAAAAAACCGGACATGTCCGGGAAAATCTGGACGTATGGTAACCCAACCATAGAGAGGTTAGGTTTTTTTATTTTTATGTATTTATTGCCATAGCCCATGTGGGTGGCAACCAAGCTTTAAGAATATTTAATTAATTTTCTAAACTACCATGTTGGCTCTAGAGCGCCAATTAATGTCCTAAAAGTCCACACTTCAAATGAGTTTGTACTATTTCCTCTTACAGTGAGTGCAGTGTGGACAAAGAAGGAAGTGTCTTTACATAAAGATACACCATGGAAAGGGGATTATAGCATTATCAGCTTTTTGCTGATATTGGATATGATTGAAAATGTAATATGCTTTCTGCTGCTAACTGCAAATATAGTGAAGTTCACTGTATTTCAAATAGAGCATAAAACATTGTGCAAGATGAATTTTTCTATCATGTACATATGACACACATTAATGATAAATCCCTATGATTTTGACTAGATCAGCCCAATAGAAGGGACTTAATTTTGTGTGTAAAGTGTTTTCAAGCATGGATGATTTCTAAAATCAATACAATTGGAAATAAACTTGTTCCCCCTTCTTTACTCTTGTACAAGACCAGAAGTTGTCATTAGTCATAGAGTTAAATTCCTTTATTTTCTTATCTTGCAGAATTTTTACTTTAGACTAAATTTAGAATTTTTTAGTTTAGGGGACAAACTAAAAGAAGTAACCTTATTGCACATCTATTACATTTGCCAGCGTGTCATCGTATCAATTTTAAGTTGAAATAACGGATATTAGAATGGCTAGATCATTTCTTGTGTTTCAGGGTTAATTTTGGAAGAAAAATAAAAGTATCCTTGGGCATATAAGCAAGTTACTGCAGAAATGGTTACTCATTTGGATGTTGTTTAATGTTACAAGCTCTGAGCATCTAATTATTTTAATTAGAGAAAACATAAAATATTCAGTTGA